GCTGCGTCGGTGCTGAATCCCCGCCAGCCGCCTGTGGTCCCCTCTGCACCTTCGGGCCGCCTCTCGTCTTGCTCTGTGGCCTGTGAACCTCCCCGTCCGCTACAACTGCTGATTTCCCCCCCTTTTCCCTCCAGTGTCCCACGCAATTGCAGTGTGGATTTGATGGAAAAATCTTCATTTTAGGGAAGGAACAGTGATGATCTCATGTTTTATAGAGTCTGCTGCATCTTTTGTGCAAGTGTCATGTTGGTAGACATTTATAATTAACTACATCATTCCCCTTTGTTGGCTTTTGGCTTTTTTTCTTTATTTTTTTTCTCTGCCTGCTGGCTGTTAGTGTGCAGCTTCAGGCTCTCTTCGGCGACGTGCTTTGCTTCGCTCACACACGAGCTCTGAGGTTGCTGGGACGGCACATGGGTCTCTGGGTAGGGCTGCCAACACTTCTTGAGGATTTAAGAATAAAGTCAAACTAAGCCCAGATCCTACAGCCACGATTAATATAAGAAAATCAGATTTCAGCAGTATTAGGATGGGTCATGTGCTGAAATTAAAGCTGAAGTTAAAATGTGTGCTTTAGGGAAGAAAAATTTGGTGGAACTCGTCATACTTTCTAATGCTTGTGTGCTCAAATTGCTGCCTAGGTTGTTCGAGATATATAGATGGCTTATTGCCGTCCTGGATGTAAGAATTCAGTGTCTTAGACCATATTAGCATATTGCTCATCTCAGAACTTTCAGCTTTTTTGAATTGTGGTTTTAAACTATGCTGTTGCTTACTTTATTTAGAACTGGTTGTCATGCCTATGCTTTTTTTTTACTATCACCAGCTATTTATTTTCATAAACTTACTGGTTTGTGAAAGTAAGTAATTGGAGTATGATTGTGTTTATGTTGTTTGAAGTTTTTTTTATTGTTGCAGATAACAGTTTCACAGAACTTGTTTAGGTTTACATTAAAAATGTCATGACTAATCAAAGTTTTTAATTTCCTGGGTTATCAACTAAATCAACATCAGGTAGTGTTTTTTCAGCTGGCTAATTTACAGTATATTGTATCCATAAACACTGACCATCTGTTCTCTATGTTTCTTATAATTATGTTATCAGAATATTTTAGCAAATACTCTAGCCAAACTAACTTCCAAGTGCTTTGTTTTTTTTTTTGGCAAGAGGCTCTGTAACAAAGCACAAGCATTACATGGTGACTGAGTATAAACTCTAAGATCAGTCATGTAAGAATTTTGGTTATTACAATATGTTCATGTGAAATGGATAAGGTTGAGATGGAAGTGATTTAATTAAGAGGCTCTATTCTTCCTTTGATAATTCTAATCGCATACCCTGTATTATCACAAGTGCTCCTTCTGTACTCTATTCAGCAAGTTGCATTGAGAGTGCAAAAGCTCCGCTGACTTCTGAAGAAGTTTGCTTTTCTTAAGACTCGTGGTGATTTACAGTGTAGTTATTTTCCATTTTCTTTGACAAGTTATGCAGGAATTGGCACGATGAACTATACCCAACACTGAAAAGATCATCCCCTAGACTCGGAATAACCCAAAATGTAACTGGAACATGCTCATATGCATTTTTACTTTTTGAGAAATCAGTAATGTAATATGTGCAAGTGCAGATGACTAAATGGAAGTGTGATTGTTGCTCATGTCAGCATAGCTGGGCTGGCTTCATCTAGAGGAACTGCTCCTGTTTCACAGGTGCAGGCTTCAGCATTTGCGTGCTGCAGAATACTTTCCTGTCATGGGTCACGGTCAGGTATTCTGACAGCCAGGACTTGCTAACGGCTCTGGTGCTGCACCTTCAGAGCTAGTTTCACCCTGTGTAGCCAGCATACGTATGTTGGCGTGTGCCCTAGTCACACCTTGATTTTGCTGCACTCCCATACTGGTGGTCTGTCCATGCTCCTTACCAGTGGGAGCGTACAGTCTGGTTAAAGATGATGCAGGAAAAAGTAGTGACAGTGGGTATAATGTCTTTCTGTTTAATATAGGCCAAGAGTCAACTATTGCAGACAAACACATTTTGTCAGAAATATGGAGGAATAGAAGGTTGATGGCATCACCTAATGAAACACATGAACAAAAGAACTGTACAGAGCCAGGTAAGACAGAAACATTTGTGATGTCTTGTGAGCTCTTGAGATGTATTATGTAGTGCTGTCGTGCCAAGTTGCAGTGATATGTTAGGGTAAATGTAAAAGTCTCAAACTAAAAAAAAAAAAAGCAGGCCTGTTCTGTGTAGAAATAAGGTTTATTGTGGTATATAGTGCCGTGATTTTATCTTTCAAAGGTAAAAATTAATGTTGGGGTATAAGAATGTTTGAGGTCATGAGACTTATGCTGACAGTTTGATTTCCCTAATTTTGTTTTGGTGATTATTCCTATCTAGCTGATGCTGTGTATATTGCATTGGTGATGAGAGGTGTGTTCTTCTTGAAACTGTGGATAACTAAACACGCAGTGTTTGAGATACCATCTGAGCACCCTAATTTGCGCTCGTTACCATTACACATTTAATCATGTTCTGCTCATCTAATGCTGAACTGCATATTCAAAGTAGGGTGGTGGGAGATGATGAGGTAAGTCATATGGAAGGCCCGGAACCCATATCGCTTCAGGATATCTGTTCTGGCCAGGCAATAATAATTGATTGAGGGCAAGGAGAGATGATACTTTTTAACGTGTTAGTCCACAATGCTTTGATCTTCCCATCTGTCTTTCCAGTGTGTATTTCCTGTCTCTCTCTTTGCCTCTCTGTGGTTTACAGTGTGTGGGAGATGAGACATTTTGCCAATGGCACTAGCCAAATTAATTTAAAGTTCAAATTTTTTAATTTTTGTTTTTTAAATATGACTCTTGAATCAGCTCTTTGATGGCAGCAGTCTGTGCCTTCTTGTGATCAGTGAGAGCAGGAGTTGTGGGATACTGTCGGCCCCAGGCACTCGAAGAGTTTGGAGCAGTACTCCCCCTGCCTCAGTTCCATATTTGTTGTAATGCTGAGGCACCTGTTGTATAGACTGAGGATTACTGCTGTGCTTACAGACTTCTGAGAGGGGAGTGGAAGAACACTGCACAAAGTCTGTGGACCCAAAAGCTTTAACTGTATCATCTTGATGTCCAAGAGCTTCTCTGTGCTTCTTTTAAGGACTCCATGGGTTAGTTTGCCGTTGTCTCCATCTGTAACCTTATGATGTTGATTTGTCTGTCGAAGTTGTGCACAGAGAAGAAGGAAGACAAAACCAGCCTTTGGGAAACATGTAATTACTACTGATGAATAGTCAGAAAATACTGTTCTTTCCCGCTCCTCTCTCATTTTTCTCCACATGTGTGAATCATAGAATCATAGAATGGCCTAGACTGGAAGGGACCTTAGAGATCATTTTAATCCAGCCTCCCTGTGCATCAGTGTGATCATGTCTGAAGACATACTTTGCAGCGCGCTTCTAGGTAATGAAATTGTAAAAGCTGGATCAGAAAGATGTCCATCAAAAGTTTGTGATGAGGTTTTCCATTTAGTATGTATGAGAGCTTTTAACAATGATATGATAAAGCTGCCAAGGGAAAACATATGCCTATGTGTAAGTTGGAATACCAGGAACAGTGCTGACTTCTCCAGATATTTAGATAAAAAAACCTTGTCTCTCTCCATTCCCCTAAAATTTTAAGATTAGTATAATAAGAATTGAAATAAATAAGTACAGTCAGGCCCACTTTGGTGTGGTTTCTGAAATTCAAGTTGCTGAGGTACATTTTTATCTGTAACCACAAGAGAGGCCGAAATATGCCTCAGGATGCTGAGATTTTAAGAAAAATAAGATGAGACTCGCAGTAAATTCATGATTTCTGGTCATAGTGCTGGGATTACCTTCTCTTTTTAAAGGTGTTTCTTCTGTTACAAGAGAGATTTACAGATCAAATATTTCACAGGACTGCAATTGTAGCATTTTTTTAGTCACTTCCTGTTATTCTGCAGATATGTACAGTTTATCACTGGGTATCTTCTGCAGCTGAAGGGGGGATTTAGAGTGGCTAGATGCAAGATAGCTGCAAATAAAGGAAGCATCTGAAAATATCTGAAGATATTTGTTGAACAAGAATGGGTCTGTAAGAACCTGTGTTATTAACGCACATTAACAATTTCTGTAAATTTTTTTTTGGGTGGGGAGGAGTGTTTGGTTTGCCTTTTTTAAAAAAAAAAATTTTCTTTTTGATTCTTGTGTAGTAGCCAGAGACTGAGATTTTCCCTGTAATGAAGAGAAGGTACAATGACCTAAAACCTATGAAAAAGAAGCAAATAGCTCATCTTCATGGGAATGTAGCTTGTGTAAAAACATGACTGCATCTGGAGAAAGTAGTCCCAGGAAAGGTCAAGAGACATTATCAAGATTACACAGAAAACTGTTGAGAGAATATAGATTTTCAGTAGGAATGTGCAAGCTTTCAGTCATGCGCTTATCCCAGTGTCATGAAAATCTCGGGAATATGCTGTCAAACACTTTAAATGACTTGACTTTTTTTCGTATCTTTTTAAAATCTTAGGAACAGATAGTTAATATATATATATGTGTGTGTTGTATGAATACAGTGCTCTCTGTAGGCTCCTTTATGAGAAGTACTTATTCTTACCCATGTCATTTCTGTATCTGCTTTAAGGTCTAGGGGCCCTACAAATGCATGGGTGTGTATATGGCATATAGTAGTTTACTTATGTTATGTGGGTGTTTTTCTATGGATGTTTAGGATACAAGAACTTCATAATAACTTGGGAAATGCAAGTTCTTGCTGAGAGCCTGTTAATCCTTTGTGTCATTGCAGTGCTGTTGTTGTGTTCCCTCTTTCTTAGCTTCCCACACAAATCTGCAGCTTTACTTACCTTTTCCCAAAGGCTTTCAACAAAGTTAATTTATTTACAACTTCACCCCCTTTTCTTACTCACATGCCAATAAAAAAAAGAAATCTCCAGTTGTCAGAAATTGTAGCTGTAGAAGTTTATAAGACCGTGGGGTCCTTGCAATTCATGACAGTGGTAAGAAGGGGTCACACTTGGTATATACACACATATATATTTTCTTTTCCTTTGTGTATGTGTGTATATATAAATATAAATACCTGTGTATGTATAAAACTAGAGAAGAAAGTTTTTTCCGACATTTGGAGGTTAGAGGGACTGATATTCATGAATCTCTTAAGAGGTGCTCTACATTTTTTCCGATAGCAACTCTTCTGCAATCATAAGGAGTTATAGATATTACCTGTCGTGTACTACTATAGATACTACCTGTCATGTAAGAGCAGTGAAAGAACTGTTGGTCAGCTGCAGCAAGGAGGTGGAGCAACTGTGAACGCTAAGCCAGCCTCAGTTCTAGTCTGGGCTAAGACCAAACGCTTACCAAAGTTAATGCGTTGTGTAGCATTTCTTCATTAAAGATACTTCCTGGCTTGAAATTTCTTTGCTGGAAGCTGCTGTGCCATGAAAAGGTACAAGTCTTTATATTGTCCTGGAGCCAGGCTGACAGGCTCTGGGCTTGAAAAATTTCATGACAGCATGGGATTTTTGAATTATGAGTCTTATGCTTATTTTGTAACTCTTTGGGTGGCTGCTGTGGGCATCCCTGTTTGAGGGAAACCAAACTGCCTTTGCGTTATGGCTCTGAAAACTTCCTGGGTAGATTTCTGTGGGAGGAGGGGTTGACCTGCCCCTCACTTAAAGCACAGCTATTGGAAGGGGAGAGTAGTTGTCTCTATCATCTTAACAGATCTCATTAGTTTGCAACCAATTTTTTGCCTTATCCAAGCTCTCGCTTCCATCTGCCATCAGCTCACTAGCTTGCAGTTCCATCTGCCCAGCGAGTCTGGTTTATAGCTTCCCTGCTCCAATGGCTGGCCTCTTGTTTCGAAGTGTTCCCGTGACTCCACGTCCTCCAGTACTGAGTAGTGTTTCCAGAGTGGTTACAAGCTGGGGTGACTGGGTTGTGTGATGTTTCTAAGCGTGTGACCCCACTGGGTCATGTTCAGCTGTTAGAGCAACTGATCTGGACTTCTTTCTGTTGCAAGTATTTTCAAGTAATCTCTGTATACAGTACAGAGAATATTTAAGCTACTTGCTCTGAATTAGAAATGTACTGGAATGTATTTCTGTTAAATCTTCTGACAGTAGCCAGTGAGCTGCCTTTAAATTCAAAGAGTCAGTGGGGTTTTCTGTTCAGCGGTTTGTCAGCTGTGGACAGTTCATGAACTACACTGATTTTAAATGGCTGGGGGTTTGGTTCAGGTGTGCTCCTCCTGTTTGTTATCAATGGGTAAAGATAAATTGTGGGTTGGGGGAAAGTCAGGGGTTAGCATTTCTTTGTGATCTGTGCTGCCTTTTTACTTTAGAATTAAGAGGCACATTGAAGCAGTGCTTTCTGCTCTTGCAGTGAGAGATGAAGAATCGATCCTCTGCAGTGAAATAAAGTATGCTTCCCAGCAGCGTATGTATAACTGAGTTCTGAGTCAGGATCAAAAGTCATTAAGTCTGTGTATATTTTACACTGTTAGTTATAACCCTGGGGACTCATGTAGGATGTGATGCATTGTAGAGAAAATACAGAAGACTTAAATAGTTTTGTTACCATGTCATAGAGAGTATAAGAGTCTGTTCCTTTTCTTACAAAAATCAGTTATAGTGTTCTCACTGACTAGGGGAAATGGGACTGACTCTTCAAAGTAATTTTCCAAAAGGATAGAAAAAGCTATTTCTTGTGCATTTGCAGTAAAGGCACTATAGGAAGCATTGATTGCCCTCAATTTTATTTAACGAACACAGTGCTTAAATGCATACTTCTCATTATGCTGGACTGATGTATCCTTTTGTCTTGATTTTTTTAGACACCTTAATATTTAAGATTATAAACTTTGTGTGATATATGCTGATCTAAACGTACTTTTGTCGCTCGTGGAATATGTCACTTTGTGCTGATATAAATTGTCTTTAAACAATGTGATATGTATTTAATTTAAACAATGTGCTCGTGGTCTTCCTTAAATGACACTTCCATTTTGTAGCAGGGATAAATGCCTTAGACGCCCACTTTTAAGGAGGTGGTCTTAATAATTTCACTGT